CCCGCCAGGAGGGGTGCGCGCGCGGGCAAGTCAGCGAGGCCGCCGGGAGCACCTCACCGGCTCCCGGAACCGTGGCACCTTCGGCCGCCTCCGGCAGCCCGCGGTGTGGTGCGCCCCCTCCTCACGCCCTTTTGAAACAAATCCCACTTTCCGGCATCTTCTGCCCTCCCCGTCTCCGCAAAAGGCTCAAGGACGGGCTGCGCTGGGCTCACACACACCGCGTGGTCCTGCTGCGAGCGTGTTCCACAAACGCTGCGTTATGAAACAGGCCTCACATTGACAGGTTAAGAAACCGAGACCGGGAGAGCCTCAGGAGCCCACCGTTGCCAAACAGTGGTACATAAGTACGAATGTTGATTAAAACCACATTCAGATGTCATCTCACCCCAGACTGGCTATAATCAAAAAATCTCAAAATAACAAATGCTGGTGAGGATATGGAGAAAGGGGAACACTCCTACACTGTTGGTGGGACTGTAAATTAGCACAGCCACGTGGGAAACAGTACTGAGGTTTCTCAAACAACTACACGTAGATTATCACCCAGTCCAGAAATCCCATTGCTGGGTATTTACCCAAAGGAATGGAAATCTTCATGTGGAAGGGATACATGCATTTCCATGTTCATTGCAGCTCTATTTACAATAGCCAAAATACGGAACCAACCTAAATGTCCATCAGTGGACGACTGGATAAGGAAAATGTGGTATATATGCCCAATGGAGTACGACTCTGCCATAAAAAGAATGAAATCTGCCACTCACAGCAACATGGATGAGCTTGAAGAAAATTATGTTAAGTGAAATAAGCCAGGCACAAGGGAAAAATACTGTACCTCCTCACTTGTATGTGGGAGCTAAGAGAGAAAGGAGGAAGTAAAGAAAGACCACACTGGTGTGTTGGACTTGCAGAGGGAGAGACCTAGGGTTGGGGGTGAGGGATGGAAAAAGGGGTTGGGGAGAGGTTGGGTGGGGGACATGGGGAATAACTGCAGTTTCAAGTGGTGGGCATGCTGATAGTAGTGATCTGGTTACGACACCTTGGGCACAGGTGCTGTTGGTCAGCTCTGTGCCTCATAAATATGTATAATCAATAAGAGTTAAAATAAAAAATAAATAAATACAAATGTTGAACACTGTGGCGTGTGGCCCTAAATAATTTACGGTGACTGTAATTGCAAGAGGAAAGAATTGGTAGCCCAACTGGAACTGTTCTCTGCAGGAATTCACAGCAAGGTCAGCAGTGTATTTAAAGCACCCTTCCACTTCTGCCGCCCTCTCTTAACTGTCTCCTTAGGGTCACAGCTTGGCTGCTCCACCCTTTTCAGGTGCTAAATAGTGAAACATAGAACCAGATGTTTTGTACTACTGGTTTCATCCCATAGACAGAGCTGCAAAGTTTGCAGTTAATGCTAAAAATCACTTCTGTCTTTTCTCTCCACTGCTTCTTCCCCAAATATTCACCTCCCGGTTTGGTATGTCTTAGATTGAACAAAATTACTTTACTGTGGGTGTGAAGTTTATCAATTAAATAAAATTATATATATTGCTATGGGTTGATTGAATTGTGTCCCCCAAAGCCCATATATTAGAAGCTTAATTCCCACTGTAACTGTTGAGAGTGGGAAGTCCTATTATGGCGATTGAAAGGTGGGGTCTTGAAGAGGTGATTAGACTATAGGACCAATTACAGAACCATGAGTAGGGAATGGATTAATAATGGTAGTCAGGGGTGTGGTTCTGAGGGCTTTAAAAGGAGAGCACATGAGAGTCTCTTTCTCTGCTCTGCCATTTTCTGCCACATGAAACCCCTGTGTTGCTGTAAAGCCACCACCAAAGAAGGCCCTCACCATAAGTGTTCCCTGGACTTTGGACTTCCAGCCTCTGAAACTGTAAGCAACAAATTTCTTTGTAAAATACCCAGTTCCAGGTATTTTGTTATAAGCAACAGATATAGACTAATGCATATATATGATATATCTCTCTCCAGCAGTTACTGGTATAGAATAACACTTATTTCTCCATGATGATCAGGTCTTGGATTGTGTAAAAAATAAAAGGAATGAGATGAGAGTCCCTTTTAGGCCATATTTGTCCAACAAATTGTGTTTAGCACAAAGAGAAACATTGACCACCTGGAAACAAGTGTAGGTGTTTGGGGGTGTAGGAGAGGAAAAATAATTTTTTCCTTAAGCCTCATAAGTTGGAACGGATCCCTGTAGAAAAAGACAACAGGGAAGGTTATGGGGAAGCAGTGTAGTGTAATGAAAAGAGCATGGGTTCTGTTTTCAAATCCTGCCTGTGCCATGTGCTGGCCATGTGCACTTGAGTGAGTTACTTAACCTCTCTGCATCTCAGCCTCCTCACCTAAAAAAAGAGCATAATATCTGTCTCACTGAGTTACTGTGACACATATATTATGTCATATATAGAATCTGTGCCCAGGACACTCAATAAATGGCATCTATTTTTATCATTATTGCTGTTTTTTATTAGTTCCTTATTAGGATTTTATCAGAACCACTAATGCACATGTTTTGCCTGAAGCAGACTTTATCAAAGATTGGGAGAAAACAATTTTAAATTGAATATTAGACATTTGTAAAATTGTCCCTCAACCATTTCCACAACTTTACTTCAGCCTCTCATGCTGCCTTCCTCCTTTCTTTTCTCCTTCCTTCTAGATCACTCCCCACCTCCAAATTCTTTTCATTTTATCATGCACAGAATTATTCAGCTCTCTCAACCCCAGTTTGCGACTCTGCTCCTTAGCACCTGAGCATGTCAAAGTGCTCAACTGAACTTTAATGTGTGTGGAAACCTCCAAATTCTTTTCATTTTATCATGCACAGAATTATTCAGCTCTCTCAACCCCAGTTTGCAACTCTGCTCCTTAGCACCTGAGCATGTCAAAGTGCTCAACTGAACATTAATGTGTGTGGAAGCACAAGGGTCCAGCAAAAACCTTGAGATTTAGTTTCACAGGATTTGTTCACCCAGAAAGCAATCAACTGTTTTATAAAGTGTTTTTCTCTTCTGCAAACAATGTATATTCAACAAACTCCACCCCAATATACAGAGAGTGAGTATATAAGAACACGTATAAATGATGTCAACTTTTTGCTTCGTAGTCAAAAACTTAGCATCCAGATATTGGAGAGAACCTTATAGGACTTTACTAAAGAGCTCCTTTACTTGCCTACTGGTATGGTCTGAATGTGTCCCCCAAAATTCATATGTTGGCACTTAATCACCAATATGATCGTATGAAGAGGTGGGGACCTCAGGAGGTGATTAAGTCATGAGAGGAGCCCCAGTGGATGGGATTAGTGCCTTACAAAAGGGCTTGAGGGGGTGAATCTGTTCATCTCTCTGCCATATGGGGACACAGCATTCATCCCTTTGGCACTTTTTGCCCCTCCTGACATGTGAAGGCCCAGTGAGAAGGCCCTAACAAGACACTGAATGTCAGCACCTTGATCTTGGACTTCCCAGCCTCCAGAACTGTAAGAAAACTTTCTGTTATTTATGAATTACCCAGTCTCAGGTATTTTTTTTATAGCAACACTTACAGCTAAGACACCTATGTAGATATAGAGTATAATCAAACTCTAAGCCTCTATAAAAATTTTTATACATAGCAGACTTGGGCCAGACTCTTTAAGTTCACTGACAATTTATGATCCATTTTGGGCCAGTTTGACTGAAGAGTGGAAAAAACAATGGAAAACAAGCTCCAGTATCCTCTGGCTTCATGAGGTTTAAAGGACAAAAGGAGAGAAAAGTTGTGATATTTATTCTCCTGACCCCTTCCTGCCAGACCATGGTTTGTGTTCCTTTAAATGTGGCCACAGTACGCTTTTGCCCAATGAACCCTAGAGGTAGTACTACTTTCCCTCCATTCCTGATTGGGTACTTCA